TCGGCCAGCCCCACTCCCCTCCTGGCCGGTCCCCCCCGCCCATTCCGAGATCATGTGTGTCCGGTATTTTTATTTTGAAACCCATCTGGTAACTCTAGACAACATGCTTCCGGCTCAACGGACCCTGGGGGAATCCAGCCCCCTCAAAGCAACAGAGAAGGGTGACCCTGGCACTAACATCCCCTCCTCTCTTCCTCAGACCCACTTCTTCAGGGACGCGCGTTACCTGAGGGGGAATAGCTGTCCAGCTCGTAGGGGGTGCCGTAATTGGAGGGGTCTATGTCAGCATACTTGAGCTCTCCCTTCATATCAGACATGGGAACATAGTCCAGGGATTCGTCCTTGCTCATATCCATGTAGCCGCCGTCGCTTTCCACAGCAAAGGCGAGGCTGGAGCGGAGAAGCAAAGGAACCCCCCGGAACAGACCGTGTGAGAGAGGGGTCGGGGTGGAGGCCTCAGAGGGTCAGATTGCCAAGAGGCCAGGACCACGCACCCGCATCACTGCTCAGCCCTGAGTTTGCTGGCAGCTGGTCCTGACACTCCCCAAGTGCCCCTTTTCCACATGCGCCTTGGGAATCTGTGGCCTATCTGAGGCGCGCACAACTGTCTGCATGTTTCCACACCTGCCCTAGGGCAAAAAGTCGACTCTGAATTTCCTTCTCCCTCTACAGAGGGGGCCACCCAAGAGGGGAGCATCGGCACTTTTGAAAGTCCTGAGAATGAATGACTTTGCCCCTGCCCCCCTCTTGTGGGAGAGGTGGCAGGAGCCACACTAAGCCGAGTTTTTTTAAATCCTCGTTTGTTAGTGAACCACTGGGCCACGGACTCTAAGTCTTAGCCTGTCTCTCTAATCACAGCAGCAGCGTGGTGCCTGTATCTTTCCCCATGTGAGTTTTTGCACAGGAGAGCAGGTGAACAGGATCCTTAGAGGGAGGCTTGTGGTCCATATGCAAACGTGTGTGCAAATCTGCCTGCTTACTCTTGCATGCAGGCGGGTGGCTGGGCTAGAGCCGAGCAGGTCTTCCTGTCAGTGCAGGGTCAGTCTTTAAAGGGTTAATGCAAATCAAGCTCAAGATTAGCTCTGTGCCTTTAAACTACAAGAGTATGTCTAGACTACATCCCTCTGTCTCCAGAGGGATATAAATTAGACATACCGAAATTGCTAACGAAGCGGGGATTTAAATATCCCACGCTTCATTAGAATAAAAATGGCTGCCGTTTCCTGCCGATGCGGCAATTTGCCAGCAAAAAGCAGCAATCTAGACAGGCATTGGTCGGCAAGGAAAGCCTTTTCCGATGGATCCCTTATGACTCGTGCAACGAGGTTTACAGGATCGTTTGGAAAAGGCTTTCCTTGCCGGCCGATCCCCGACCAGACTGCCGCTTTTTGCCAGCAAATTGCCGTGTTGGTAAAAAGTGGCGGCCATTTTTATTCTAATGAAGTGCGGGATATTTAAATCCCCGCATCATTAGCAATTTTGGTATGTCTAATTTACATCCCTCTGGCGACAGAGGGATGTAGTCCAAACATACCCAAAGAGATGACTGCTTAGTTCAGGGGTGGGGAACCTTTTTTGGGTTGGGGCCTGCTGATCCACAGGAAAATCAGTTGGGGGCCGCACACAAGTGAGAAGCAAAAACCAAAACTCCAAGCCCCCCAAACCACTGACGTGGCTCCCAACTGAAGAGAAAGACCCTCCCCACATTCCTCTCGCACACCAGAGCCCAGCGGGGACCCAAGCTGGTAGGTTTTGTATCCTTCAGCCCCACAGGACGACCGCAGGAGACTGGAGCACCATTGCGGGTTCCCCAATGCTGAGGGGGAGCCCTGAACCTCGGGGCTGGATCAAGGCAAGCCAGGGGCCACAGCCAGCCCCTGGGCCTTAGATTCCCCACTAGGGTTGCCAGATACTTAAAAAAAATACTGAACATGATGGGGAAAAAATTGGTTGAGAAAAAAAAAAATGGCACAAAAGAAAGAAACACTGCCAATACCGGATGCCTGGCAACCCTATTCCCCACCCCTGGCTTAGTTAGTGTTTAAGCAGACGCCAAGCCAAGTCATGAGCAGCCTCTGCCCTGCCCTAGTATTCTGGGCTAGTAAGAACCTCCTCTTCGGTTCCTCTCTCACTCAGCACTGCCCACTTCGGAAACAGGCAAGCCTTCTTAACTGGCCTGCTGGCTCCCGATTGGTCATTGTCTTCTCATGGCCCTTCTTGGCCTCCGGAGGATTAGGTCTCATTGATAGCAGGCTCTGGGCAGGTTTCCCTTAAGCGCAGAAGCCCAGTGCCTCAAAGATATTTAGGCTCCTAACCTCCACTGATTACCTTTGAGGATCTGGGCCAGGCTGTGAGGAGCTAAAGCCTCCAGCAGAGATGGCCTGACAGACCCCAGCCTGGTGTGCAAACAAGGTGATGGTGCAGCTCCAGTTAGCTGTTTGATGTGCTGCTGTGGTAACTAGGGTTGCCAGGTGTCCAGTATTCGTGTCCCCCGTCCGGTAGAAATAACAGAAAATACCAGACATTTAAAATGTCCAGTATTTCCTGTTTCCCTCAGATAGAAGCCCAATGGGGACAATTTTTCCCTGCTGCATCTGGTGAGGGGTCATTTAAAGACGCAGCGCTTTTTTTTTTTTTTAAAACACTTTTCCCCCCCCCCCCCTTTTTTTGTTCAACAACTTTGGTCTCCCCCCCTTTTTTTCTCAACAGAATTTTTCCCCTGGTGTTTGGTTTTTTTGGTAGGGGGTGGAGGTGTTCGGTATTTTTGGTTAAACCATCTGGCAACCCTAGTGGTAACCCTGTACACAAGTAAAGGTGTACAACCGAATGCAGGGACCTGAGGTCTCCTTTCGGGCCTAACTGCCTAAATAGTAACTCTCCAACTCTGCACAAATGCGACTGGTATGCAGAAATCTGAGGTTTGGCACTTGCTGATACTCCCCGGTGAAAAGCTGCTGTATGTGCAAAATTGCAGATTCATTTTCAAGGCCTTACTGTGAACACTGGGCCCAAATCAAAGTTCTTTGTTCAGCCTTTATTATTGCCTCATCTGACTTGAAATGGAAACTGCTAGGGATGTAAGTGACTAGTCAGCTAATCGACTATCCAACAAGCATATGCTTATGGGATAGCCAATTAGTAACTCGATTAGTTGTTTCCCCACGCCCTTGCTGCCTCTGTCAAAGAGAGGCAGCAAGGGGTGGGGAGCAGGAGTCGGTGCTGGGGGGAGCTGGCTTAAAAGCGGGGAGTAGGGGAGGCAGAGGTATAGCAGGGGGCCTGGGTGCGAGCTGTAAATCAGCTGTTTCCTGGCAGCTCTTTATACATTTAAAAGGCAGAGCTGCAGCTGGGCTGGCTCCCAGGGCCAGCAGCTAACTCCGCTGTGGCTCTGCAGTTTCGCCCCCTTATCAACGAATTGACTAGTTGATAGAAATTCCGTCGAGTAGTCGATTAGCTGATTAAATGCCATTTAACATGCCTAGAAACTGCAAGAGCTTCCATCCGTGGAAGCACCCATCTTGTTTCACCATCGCATCTGTGCGCAGGGACAAAACACTCCTTTGTAACATCCCTCGGCGGTGCCGCTCAGTAAATCTGCACAGGTATTCCCAGGTCTCCCGATGGCAACTGGACAGTCAGAGGCCTGGTTTCCTCTTTTGCAGCCAGGAAAGAAAAGCTGCCACAATGCTGTGCTAAATCTACCCTGAGCGCCTGGGTGCTGACTTTGCAAATGCAGAGCTAATAGCAGCAAATTCCAGTGCAAGGCCCAAAGACCCAGAACCACGAAAGTATTTAGGTTCCTAACTTGCATTGAAATCAATGTACTGCACATCTGGCCCAGAGGTTTAGCCTACTCCTAAGTCCCCAGCCTTCCCCAGTGTGAACAAGAGAACATAATCATTAGGGTTTTGTGTCCCAGAAAGGACAGGACCCTGCTGTAGCTGACTGGGACCTCCCACTTTTTACTGGTAAGGGGAGCTACCGGCGGGAGGTGAAGCAGCAGGGGCTAGAAAGAAGTGAGCAGGGAGGTGGGATCTAAGGGAGGGGAAGAGGCAGCACAGGAGTGGAGCCTTGAGGGAAAGGGCAGTGCAAGGGGAGCCTTAGGGAAGGGGCAGCACGGGGCGGGGCCTCAGAGAAAAGGGGCAGCACAGGGGCGGGGCCTCAGAGAAAAGGGGCAGCACAGGGGCGGGGCCTCAGAGAAAAGGGGCAGAAGGGGCAGTCCATGGGCGGGGCCTCAAGGTAAAGGGGCAGTCCATGGGCGGGGCCTCAAGGTAAAGGGGCAACGCAGGGGGGTGGGATGGTCTGACCACTGTTGCCTCCCCACTTCTAGGGATGTTCTGCCTCTCCCGAGAAGGGTATTGTACAATACTCAAAGCACCTGTACACCTTCTCCTCTTCGGAAACGTTCCCGTACACCTCCATCTCTCGCCTCGCCTTCTCGGTGTAGTACTGCAGGAAGGTGTGCTTGTTCCGGAGCAGGTAGTCCACTAGGTCTCCATAGCGACAATACTCCGTTATGATATAGATGGGGCCTGTGGGAAAGGCGAACATTGGAGTCCAGTGCAGGCTTGGGGCAGCTTCGCCAGCGCTGCCCTTCTATTACTGACGACAAGTGGCTGGGAAAGACCTTTCCTGTCTTGTGACAATTTCCAAGAGAACAAAAATTGTTCCTGTCCTGAATTAGGACAAAAAGCTGAAAGCTTGAAAACAGCCATGAACTGAAAACCTCCTCAAAGGTTTTGGTTCTGGGTTAGCGGAAACATCTCATTTAAATTTCGACCATTTTTTATTGAAAAAAAATTGTTTTTGACAATGCTTAGTTTAAATGTCAAAACAACACGTCACTTGAGACAGAAAATTGGAATGTTTCATTGTGAAAATGTTGACAATTTCCATGCTTTTTTTTTCTCAGCGTTTTTCTGAGTTGAAATTTTTTGGTTTGAACCCTTTTCCCTGACAACAAATTCGGCATTTTCTAGTAAAATTCCTGACCGGCTCTACTGCCAACCAACGTGCCCTCTGATCTTTTCCATCCATGTGCAGAATCCATGTGGATTTTTTCCATCTACGTGCAGAATAATTTTTTCTATGTGCACCAAGGTATGTGTGGGTGTGCACCACCAACAGAAACAGAAAGCCTAGCTGTGGGCTCTCTGCCAATCATCTGGGTGGCATTTGACTCTCTTCTGAGTGGCTGCACAAGTACACAACTAACAGGGAACACCACTGCTCCCACAATTGCTTGTAAGTGGACTCTGCAAGTCCCAGAGAGAGACTTCGGGGATTTGTTTGGGACACTCAGATGAGTGGAAAGCAGGCAGGACCACTGGCCTGTGAGTCTGGAGCACTGCATTGGCCTCTCTCACTGATCACGCTGCTGGAAGGAGACTGGATGGAGATTATAGTCCTATACCTGCTGCTGGACGGGGGAAGGACATTCAGCGGGGGCAAGGGAGGGAGGTCAGTCTGGGAATTTTCTCCCATTCAAACAGTAGGCCCAGGGGGACCCACTAATCTTATCCTGATGACTGTATTAATGGTGGTGACCTCTAAGCAGCATGCTAATGCTTGGGGCAGCAGGGGGAGGAGACGGGTCCCAGCTGTGAGGAAGGGGGATCATGTGGGGGGGAGGGGAAGGCGAGGGGACAGGTACCTCCTTTGGTGCAGGCTCCCAGCAAGTTGACAATGTTTAGGTGAGGTCCCAAGTGGCTCATGATCTTCAGCTCAGACATCAGGGCCTGCTTCTCACTGCTCCTGGCGGTAGCTGTGAAACAGACACGTCAGCACGAAGCAGGGAGAACACTGAGGTGTGGGAGACGAGGGCACATGCACAGCCCAGAGAACTGGGGTAACGCGCAGCACGGAGCCGCTGGAGGGAGGTATGCGCTGAGCCCAAGGCTGGAAGCCTGAGTTCTTAGCCAGGCTCAGATACTGACCTAAGCAATTCCTGCTTCCTTTGCCTTTTGGAGAGAGGGCAGGAAAACCAGTGCTGCTTAGAAACAGATCCCTGTTCACGCCAGCAGAGCTGGTCTTAGGGGCAGGAGAGCTGGGCAATCGCCCGCCAACAGGGCATTTCAGCCCAACCTCCCGAATCGACCCCCCAGGTTTCCTTGGTTACTCCACTGCCCCCCCGTTTTTTTTTGCTCGACAAATTTTCCCTGCGGGGTTGGTTTTTTTGCTTGACACATTTTTGTCCGGTATTTTTTTGGAAACCATCTGGCAACCCTCCGGGTGAGCCAGTGGTCGCCCGGGGCTGCCAATTGGTTAGGACCGGCCCTGCGTGCTAGGCCCACAGGGACTGACCCTGCTAGAATCATCTGTGAGGGAGCAGACCGGTAGCTAGCCGAGCCCCGATCCCACCTTGGGCAGGGCTGCGAGGGGAGAGACAATGAGTCACTCAGCTGGTGCCTATGCAGAGGGAGGGTCCCCTGGTAAGAGGGAACAAGCAAGGGAGAGAGGGAAGCCAACAGTGCAGAGCGGAATGACCGAAGAGGCCGTGCGTGGAGACGAGAGACGGCAAGAGACTCACACTTGAGCATTTTCACGGCCACTCTCATCACGGATTGCGAGTGGCTCAGGCCATGGGCCGTTGCCTCCACCACTCGGCCAAAGGCTCCGGATCCGAGAGTGCGACCTGCAGCAAAACACCAGGGAGAGGCAGATTTCAGCGGCGGCAACAGCCCTCCAAGAGTCAGGCAGGGGCCCTCAGGCAGCTGCCCAGAAATGTGGGTCCCTGGACGGGAAAGACAGCAGCGCACCATGCCGATCCCAGGGGGGTTAGTATGTCTGGGCAGGGGCTGATCTCCACCTGGCTGGGAACTGAATGGGCTGTCCAGCGCAAAATGTTGAAGGGTCTGGAACAGCTGCCATATGAAGAGAGACTAAAAAGACAGGGACTTTTCAGCTTAGAAAAGAGGAGACTAAGGGGAGATATAAAATCATGACTGGTGTGGAGACACTGAATGAGGAAAAGTTATTTACTTGGTCCCATAAGAACTAGGAGTCACCAAATGAAATTAATGGGTTGCAGGTTTAAAACAAACCAAAGGGAGTTTTTCTTCACACAGCGCACAGTCAACCTGTGGAACTCCTCACCAGAGGATGTTGTGAAGGCCAGGACTTTAACAGGGTTCAAAAAGGAACTTGATACATTCATGGAGGACAGGTCCCTCAATGGCTATTAGCCAGGATGGGCAGGGATGGTGTCCCTAGCTTCTGTTTGTCAGAGGCTGGGAACGGACGATGGAATGGATCAGTCCATGATTCCCTGTTCCGTTCACTCCTTCTGGGAGCACCTGGCATTGGTCACTGCTGGCAGACAGGCAGAGGCGTAGCGAGGGAGGGCTGGGGGGGGCAGTTGCCCGCAGGCCACATGCTCCCTGAAGTCAAGCCGTCGAGGCAAGGCCGGGTGGCGGAAGTGGGCACTTCAAAGGTAGGGTTACCATACGTCCGGTGCCTGGCTCGGGGGGAGGGGAGGGGCATTGGGTTGGAGCAGGGGGGGTAGGCATGCCTCGCTCTGGGGCAGGGATTGGTGCATTGGGGGTATTTATAATTTTTTAAGGGGTACTTTATAAAAAAAAAGGTTGAGAAACACTGCTCTAAACTATTCCTTTTGGCCTCCCTGTTTCCTTTCTCCTTTGGGGAGTTGGGCAGGCAGCAGTTTTGGTAAAAATACATCAGACATGTGCACACAGTGCCCGCTCTACCTCAGCTGGTGCTGGATAATCAGGACCTCGATTCTAAAGGAGTTGGCATCACTGAGGTGACTGATCCTCCCCCGTTTTGTTGAGGATTTTCCAAAGAAAATGCTGGTGTTTTCTATAGGTCACCCACGTCTGCCAGTCATAGCAGAGACTTGGCGTTAACATGGCTTTCTCAACTAAAAGTCTTATGCGTGTTCAGACGTTGTGCTTGTGAACACCTGGCGAGACAATCTGCCAAAGGCAAGGCTGGCTTTGAATCTTGACCTCTATGGCTGCAGCTGAACGGCTTGTGTGAAACTTGGAAGAGCAGCTGCTAGGGAGACCTCTGTCCTTTACTTAAGGATAGAATCTCACAGCAGTCTGAAGGAAAAAGTCCTTGTGGCAGACAGAAAGTCACACTTGCAGTGTAACCTCAGCCTCACGCTACTTATTGCTTCAAGTCCCTTCAAGAAAGTGAGGGTGATTCTCGTGTTGTGTGTTAGTTTTATTTAAAAGTTTTTCGGCGTGTTATTTTAAGAGGTAAGTTAATCTCTTGCACTCATAACTATGATGTAGTTTATCTCTGTATGATAGTTTAAAAACAACTAGGTTAACTAGAAATGATCTGGTAGCACTTTAAAGACTAACAAAACCTGTAGACGGTATCATGAGCTTTCGTGGGCACAACCCACTTCTTCAGATGACCGGAGTTTTGAGTTTAGAGTGTGCAGACCCAAAATGAGAGAAGGCGGGAGAGGGGGCGGAAAGGAGGGGGTGGGAGTTGGAGCAGAGGGTATAGAAAATTCAGGAAGGTAGAGGGAAGATTCCTTCCTAAATTTTCTATACCCTCTGCTCCAACTCCCACCCCCTCCTTTCCGCCCCCTCTCCCGCCTTCTCTCATTTTGGGTCTGCACACTCTAAACTCAAAACTCCGGTCATCTGAAGATGTGGGTTGTGCTCACAAAAGCTCATGATACGGTCTACATGTTTCGCTAGTCTATAAAGTGCTTCCAGACCATTTGTTGTTTTTTTCTGTACAGACTAACTCGGGGTACGTCAACACTAGCTCGTTAGTTCGAGCTAGGTAGGGTAATGAGGGCAAGCAGAGTTGCAAATGAAGCCCGGGATTTAAATATCCCGGGTTTCATTTGCATGTTCCCGCGCGCCGCCATTTTTAAATCCCCCTTAGTCCGAACTCCGTGCCCGCGGCTACACACGGCACGGAGTAAGTAGTTCGAATTAGAGATCCTCATTAAAGCAACTAGCTACTTGTTTGCTGTAACAGTGGTTTTAAATGCTTTCTGTCCCGGTCCCGCACCCCCAGCAACCCAGGGAGTCGGGAAGGGCTGTGAGACCCCGGGGAAGGGCTGTAGGAGGATGGGGAATGCTCACATTGTGATTCCCATAATGGAGGGGGGTCTTGATGCTGAATGTCAGTTCATGGAGGGTCCCCTACATGCTAGTGGGCTCTCCTCCTCTGGGGCTACCTGCTGTGCTGGCAGCGGGGCTGGCGTTCCCTCGAGGCTGCCCGAGAGGCCAGTCCTGCCGTGAGGCCTGGGGGCTGAGCTCCTGTCTCGGCTCAGCACAGCAATGCCCAGGCAGAGCGGACACAGCATGGCTCAGAGGCAGGGCCCCTGCATGTGGCAGCCCTGATGACTGTGCCTCACCTGCCCACCCCAGAGCAGGCAGTCGCCCCCTGAGTCCCCGTAAATGCTCTAAGGGGTACAGGCTCTCTCCTAGTCCTGCCGTGAGGCCTGGGGGCTGAGCTCCTGTCTCGGCTCAGCACAGCAATGCCCAGGCAGAGCGGACACAGCATGGCTCAGAGGCAGGGCCCCTGCATGTGGCAGCCCTGATGACTGTGCCTCACCTGCCCACCCCAGAGCAGGCAGTCGCCCCCTGAGTCCCCGTAAATGCTCTAAGGGGTACAGGCTCTCTCCTGGATGACAAACGGAGGGCAGTTGCCCTGGGGCCAGGCGAGTCAAAAGAGCCTGGGGTTCCCGGCCCTTTAAATCACTGCTGGAGCCTGGGCGGAGCCTAGTCCCAGCCCCTCCCCTTCTACCTAAGGCTCCGCCCCTTCCAGGGCACGGAGCCGGTCCCCACTCCCCACACCTTGCCCAAGGGCCTGGCCAGTCAGTCAGCCCCTCTGTCTTCTGCCCAGTTGGCCCTGGCTACAGGCCCCCTCCCCCACTCTGGTGGGTTGGAGGCACGCTCTGCCGCTGCAGGGATCCTGCATCTGTGCCCCCTTCTTTTCCATCCCTTACTTGGCATCCCGGCCCCCTCGAGAGCCCCCCTTACCTAGCACCAGCTTGTCCCTGGAGAGCTCCCAGCTGCAGTCGTAGGGGAGCTGCATGGGATCCACGTAGATGTACTCGTGTCCATCGGAGCTGACCGACTCAATCACCTTCCAGCGGATTTCATAGCGAGGCTTCTGCCGGGGGACACGAGAGATCTCAGAGGGTGCAGCCCGGAGGGACAGCTGAGCCAACGGCTGTGCTGGGGCGGGTCCCCTGCACCCTCTGCCTCCCACAGCCCCCTCAGGGAGACAACCCGCTGCCATGGACGCTGAGGGAAGGTCTGCAGCTGACTGCCTGAGCCGGGTGAGGCGGGGGCGCTCCATCTCTGTACGGAGCAGCTAGAAGAGGGGGCTGTTTGGCAGCTGCCCATGGCAGCCCAGCCAGGGCCTTTCGGGCCTGCAGTCAAAGGGAGGAGGCCTCCCACCTCCCTGTCCCAAGGGGGTGGGCTCACCCTGACCTTCTTCCACACGATGACGAGGATCGCCAGGAAGACGACGGCCAGCACCACCAAGGCCAGGATGCCGGAGATGAGGACCACCTTAAAGGGAAAGGCTGCAACAAGAGCCACATGGGAAACCATCAGATCCCTCCAGCCAGAACACCCACTCGGAGAAACGAGCCAAGACGGCTGTGATCCTGCCCCTTCTTGCCCCATAAGTTCTGCTCCCCCCCCCCTTTCCAAATCCCGCTCCCCCAGCTGACGTCAACCCCCACAGCCAGTGCTGGGCTGGGGCACATTTTGGCGCGCTCCGTCCATCCCTGGAAACGGACGGACACGCCCCTTAGCCAGACTTGTGGCATCCCCTGGCTGGCTTTCCCATCCCTCGCTCATCCAGACCCAGCCTCTCCCTTCTCTGCTGGGCTTGGGGTCACCCTGGATGATTGCTCCCGGCCCCTAGAACTAATCCCGCATGGGAGCCGGAGAGAGGCACACAGGGCTGGGGGGATTCTCCGGCAGTGGGAAGGGATTCGGGGTGAAGCTCCAGCCCTTTTGCGGCAGCACAGCTCCGCAGGGCCAGGGGCTTTTGGAAGGGATTTGGCAC